AGGTCATAGGTTATTGAGAAGTCCACTCTACCTCCACCTTTAAACCCCCTGGGATGAATGAGGATGCCCAGTCAAGACAAGTGTGAGATCTTCAACGTTTCACTGACATAGGTCCCATCCTGGAGGCCACCAGCTGAACAAGGGAGTGGGGGCTAGGGACTTGGAACTTGATGCTCCAGGGAGCTGTTAGCAAGAGCTGAGTGACGGGTAAGCCTTGGGTGGGGGTGGGGAATTAAAAGGGTTTCAGCAAGATGGAGGGAGGGGAGCTGGGAGCCATGCTCCCTCTGCCTGCTGCCATTTCTCCACCTCAAGTTGGGTGGTCAAAGTCCAGGAAACCCAAGTCACAGTCCTCGCCCTCAACACTCATGGGGCAGAGGAAAGGCCAGGAGCAAGTGGAGACAGAGCTAAATATTTACAGCACAGTGGGACTTGGAACTTGCTCATTGGCAGCCCCAAGGCCAAATCTGGCCTGCAGATGGGTTTTGTTGGGTCTGCCTGGTTTTTAAAAAACATTTTAAAATATTTTTTAAAAAGGAGAGATTTCACAGGAACAGATTTCTGGCCTTTCTTGAAAAGTAGAAAACTTACGACACAGGGTGCGKGTCCTGCCGGCTGGGGCTGGGCATCAGCCCCTGTTCCACCCCCACCTGTGGCAGCTGGCTCTGTCACTCCTCTACCTGGGTGGCCTCTGTGCCTCTGAGATGGCACCCATGGAAGGCTTGTTCTGGCAGAGCAGACTCAGCAGTCAGAACGGAAGGAATCTTGGGATTTGAATTCTAGGTGCCTGGAGGGCATCAGACAAGCTCTCCCCTTCCTGGGTGCCCTGGAGGCAACTGAGCGCATAAGGTTGGTGCTCAGAGGTGACCGGGGTCTGACAGGAGGAAGCTGGGGAACTCTTGGGAACATGAGGAACATGGCTGGCTTCTGCTGCCCTCTTCTGTGATCTTGTCCCTCACCCTGCTCAGCATCCTTCCCTGGGGCTTACRTAGCTCTTCTTGGTTCCCACTAGGTTGGTGTTTTGTTTTGTGTTTGGTTTGGTTTGGTAYCAAAGGGCTGGGGTTGTGGCTCAGTGGTAGAGTGCTTGCCCTGGCACATGTGAGGCACTGGGTTCAATCCTCAGCACCACATAAAAACAAATAAACAAAATAAAAGTATCTAAAAAAATTTTTTGGTACCAGGAAATGAACCCCGGTACCCTTAACTACTGAGCCACATCCCGGTGTTTTTTATGTTTTATTTTGAGACAAGGTTTCACTAAGTASCTGAGGCTGACTTTAAACTTGCAATCCTCTGGCCTCAGCCTCCAGAGCAGCTGGGATTACAGGCATGCGCCACTGCATCTGGTGCCCCTTAGTTCTTACTGGGCAGCGCTGGACCACAGCTTAGAGGATCAAGAAAGCAGAGACACACCCAAGCATGCACACACATWACTAGAGAGATTTAATCTTTAATTTTTTTAAAAAAAGCACAAAGTATAACATGGGAGTTTCAGATCCTCCTTATGCCTCTCCTGTGGATTAATACATTTTTGGTTTGAATTATGTGTGGGGGAGGCACCACAATTTTTTTCCACGTTTAGGGCCTTGAAGGGCTAAATCCAGCCCTGCTCTCCCTTTCACGCTCAGCAGGGAGGATGTGGCCCACGGAGGGAGAGACTCAGGAAGGGCCCTCTGACCGCAGAGGGTGTGTGTGCCTGCTGGGGCTCTTTCTGTATGGCCAGAAAGCCCAAAACATGCTGCAGCACGGAAAGAAAGGTATTTGCCAGAGTGACTAAGACATGTTCCAGCATTTTCCCACAGGCTCCTGCACATCCCAAAATAACTGCAGCCCTGGATCCTGACCGTTGGCATCTGATCACATTTGTATAAGGTTACAGAGCAGCGAGAGGAAGGCCGCACTTGCGCACGGGGGTTTGCAGGAATGCACAGCCCACAGTGGAGTCCCAGGCAGGGCTTCCTGGCTGGCTGGAGRAGAAATACCAAGGACAGAGACCACACAGTAACAGGAGTGCACTTGGCAGAATCCCGAGAGCACCCAGACCAGGTGGAGAAGCCCACCTTTCACAGATAGTGGGGGTAGGGGGGGGCAGGGAAGAGGCCTGGAGGGAGGAGATTACCAGAGGAAGCTGGAGGGAGCGCTGGCCCTAACTTCCATCTTCTGAAGAAACATCTGTTTAGTCTTGGAATCATAAGATCTTGAATCAAAGGGACTATTTTCTTCCTTTTTTGGGGTGGTGGTGGGGATAGAACCCACACATGCTAAACAGGAGTCCACCACTGAGCTATATTCCTAGCCCCTCAAAGGGACTTTAAAGAGCCCACTGGGAATCCAGGGCACCCATGTCCCCAAGTCTGGACAACACGGTGGGAATAAGGTGTCAGGACAGACCTGCCGCCTCTCGGGGCACTTATAGTCTTGCCAAGGAAATGACTAAGACATTTAAGCATCGAGAGAACAATGGAGGCTGGCAAATAGGCCAAAGGGCACTGGGCATTTTGGCAAATTCTGAAAGGGAACAGAAGGTCCAAACAAGGAAGGGGTTTGCAAGMTCTCATGGTGGGCAAAATCTGGAAGGAGGGAGGGCATCAGGTATCACTGGTGGGAATGGGCTGGAGGAAGGGGTCGACATTGAGGGGAGAGGAAGAGGTCACAGCAGAAAGCTTGGCAACCAAGCCCAGGGATCCAGGCTGCATGTGGCTTTAAGTGTAGACACCGCCACTTATGGATGCTCAACTTAGAACAGGTTACATCCCAAGAAACCTAACACATTGAAAAGACCATGAAGAGCTGGGCATGGTGGCGCATGCCTGTAATCCCAGCGGCTCAGGAGGCTAAGGCAGGAGGTTCATGAATTCAAAGGCAACCTCAGCCAGGCGCAGAGCAACTCATTGAGATCCTGTGTCTAAATCAAATACAAAATAGGGCTGGGGAGGTGGCTTAGTGTCWAGTGCCCAAGTTCAATCCCTGGCACCCCCCAGCAAAAAAAAGAAGACCACATATTGAAAATGCATCTGCCACACCTGACCTACCAGACACAGCACAACGCACTGTGGAGCAGCAGTGGTGTCCCTCAGCGGGGAGCTGCCACTCGCTGCCCTGCCCGGCAGCAGGTGTGATGTCCGTATCACCGATTACTAGCTCAGGAAAAGATCAGAACTGAAGTGTGGTGTCTCCTTGAACATGTATCACTTTTGGACCATCCTAAGTCAAAGAAAGTTGAAAGTTGGGGGCCATCTGTAGTAACCCAAAGTCATTTGCTTCATGTGTTAGAACCCTGTGGGATTTTGAAATGGATGTAAAGATGCTCTCTAGGCTTGGAAGAGATAAGAGGTTATTCTCACATTTCTGTGGTACTTTAATAGTCCTGGCCCTCCTGGCCACTGCAGCCCACTGAGCACTAAGGATTACAGAGCACTGTGGTGAGACTAAGGTGGCCTTCGATGCCTTGTGGATCGGGACTCAAATCCAGTCTCTGCTCCTGGGTGTGAAGTGAGCACATCACTTCCTGCTTCTCACCTGTTCAATGGGGGTGATAATAAGTCAACTCTTGTCTTCTGCCAGGCCCCACTTTCAGTTCTTTGCATTTCTGAATTCATTTAATCATTTCTCTCCGTTTTACAAATGAGGAATCCAAGAAGAAAAGGGGTCTGAAACTTCTCTCTCAAAGATTATCATACGTGAAGCTGTGGTTCGAGCCCAGTTCTGATTCGTTTGTGCTCTTAACTGCTTCTCTAAAAGGTACTTGGATGGTTAAGCAAGGCCAAACTCCCTGACCATTGGTAGATTCTCAGCAGGTTTTGGTCCCCAATTCTACAGAGGCCAAGACATGTACATGAGTAAGAGCCTTTCTGGCAGCTGTACCCAGCCCTCACACAGGCCCAAGGAATACCAACTCTGGCAAGTGACCTGGCTCTGGATACCCATGCTTTCTCTGTCTTGGACAACTGAAGGTACTCTAGCTACTTACGATGCTTAGTGATGAAAATGCTATCAGTCTAACTAGTTGAGGAGGCTTAACTAGCATTAAAGTCCATTGAGAATAGATGCCCAGGTCCCAAAAAAGAAGTGGTCACACAGTCTTTGGTTCATTTTAAAAATAGTCTGGGAGTTTTCTTTTCCTACTTACAAGTTCAAGTTTCTAGAATCAGTGGCATGTCAGTTTGCCCTCCCCAAATGAGTTCACTCAGGAATGCTGGCAGACTCTCTTCAGGGTGACTTCAACCTTCCTCAGCAAGCTAAGAGTGGCAAGTACAGCAGTGTGTATTTTTGTGTGGCACCGTCAGGCACCAATATTAAACTCAGTACAGTCATGAGAAATTCAGCTCAGGGACTCTAAAGACAGCGTGCTCGTTTGAGTTCCAAGGTCTCAGGCCTTTCTCTCCCTTTTCAAAAAATCTAGCACATCTCCACAATCTGGGACCATGGCACACAAAGAACCATCTTCTACCCTAGTGAATCCTGAGTACATCTGGCCCCTAACCCCAAAGGTTTCTAGGAACCCAGTCTGGGAAGGAAGATAAACCTTGTCCCAGTCTAGTTTGGTGACTCAGAGGTATCACATAAAGATGATCCCAAGGCTCTCAGAGCACATTTCCAATCCCCGTGACCTAGACTCCACAGAWGTTTGGCAATTGTGGAAACTGGCTTCCCTGTGCACTTGTGAACCATCCCGGAGGTCAGTCCCATGGGGAGGCCAGAGAGCAGCCCCAAGTCCAGGTGGGCAAAATGCTGCCCAGTGGCACCTCAGCCTCAGCTGGCGGCCTGAAGGTGTGTGGCAGGCACATCCATTACCTGAGTCCACAACCCTGAGTCTTCCCAGGTTCCAGGTGTATCTGAGACTGAAAAGTGATCAAGATTCACACTCTCAAGAGTTGGAGGGGTAGAGACATTAGGAGTCCCAGATCCAGCTAGTGTCGACCATTGTTTCTGACTACAGCCAGCGACAAAAAATCTTGATGCCACCATTCTTTTCAATGTTTTAGAAATCACACACACAAAACTGAGTTATATAATTACTTTATTTCCCCTTTTTTCAAATGTAACATTATAGTTGTCCAACATACAGATATGACTATAGCTCCTTACATCTTATTCTATCTAAAAGTTAGATATTTGAACTCTGAGATGAAAATCATCCCATTACAATGGCAACATTTCTGAAAAATGGATTTCATATTTGTGTGATGGGAAATCGACTCCCCATCTACCCCCCAAAAAAGACTCCTCAGTTCAGAGCTACAGAAAGACAGCTCACAACCACAGTTAACACATGGTGCCCATGCACAGTGGGGACCCAAAACAATAAGCGATGGGGTTAAACTTCTGAAACAAGCAACTTCTTATTTATACAGAGTAAGAATACAGAAGAAAAGCTTCATTTTCCTTTTAGCCCTTTTATTAGTGTTTTGCCTCCACCCAAGTTACTGTGTACGGAACACCTACAAAAAAATAAAAACCACTTGACTTAAAGTCCCTGAAATGCATGCAACTTAAAACTCCCTAAAGCACACACAACAGTGCCAAGTCTCCAAGTCTGATTCTTTGTCTAATGGGGACTATGGTGCGGCTGCTGGAGGGCCAGCTGAGTCCGTCGTGCTGCCAGGGTTTGGAGCTGCTGCTTCTTTGGCTTCTGGCTGCTGGGTTGCAGTTTGGGCTTCTTCATTTCCAGCACTTTTCTTCCCCTTGTCTGCTGCTGTGGTACCCACCCCCATGATCTCCTGCAGTGGTGGATCGGTTTCAAGGTTGCTGGGCTGGAGTTCATAGACCTGGACTTGACCTGGGACATCGATTGCTTTCTGCTCAAGTTTTTCCAAGATGGTCTGAACCTTCCTGACACCATCTCTCCTGGCCTGACGTACATCAGCTCGTCCTTCAGGGTCCACAGAATCCAGGGCCAGCAGCTCTTTGGTCAGATACTCTTCAATCATCAGGTACTTTTTGTCAGTCTTCTTGCCTTCAAAGTTGTCCACGGCCTGCTCCAGCCCTTGCACCTTCTCCAGGATGGCTTCCACTTTAAGCACACCTGGATGTTTGGGGGTGACCTCAGCCTCTCCTGGTTTGGGGGGTGTGACTTCTGTAGGTGCAGGGCTGGGGGCTGCCTTCTCTTCTGCAGCCACATTCTTGGGGGAAGAGGGGACAGCAGAAGGGGCAGGGCTGGGAATTGGAGAAGGGGAAGGACAAGGAATTGGAGCAGAGGGAACCTTTACTTCCACCTTCTCAGAGGCAGGAGGCGGCTTCTGGGTAACAGGTTTAGAATCCGCCTCCTTGCGGATCACTTGAATCGGGATGTGTCCAGGAAGGAGATCTGGTCCAGTTGGGCCTGGCTTACTTTCTGGTTTGTTTTCAGGTGGGGCAACAGGTGGGGATTCTCGATGGGTCATGGGCTGCTGAGAAACAGAGAAAAGATACAGAGGTATTTAAAATAACTGGCTAAAAGTCACAGGTAGTTGTTTGTAGCTAGTATCAATTAGAAGAAAAAAAAAGCAATTATTTTTCTTGGTTAAGTTTAACCATATAAAAGATTTTCAAAGTCAACAAACAGCTTAAATAAACACGTGGTATTAATCATGTATCTGACCACACTATTCTCTAAGCTTCCACTAGTCACTCTGGGCTATTTGTCTGTTACACCTCACGTGCGCTGGAGGTGACAAGTCTTATGTCAAGGAAAAGAAAACCAATATAATTTTCAAAAATGAGAGTAGCAAAACCTAAGCTAACTGCTAAGCAGGGTTTGCTCACGGTACAGTCCCAAGTGAATCTGACTCAGGATGCAGACAGGAAGTGGCTGCCTTGTCTGCCTCCTTACCATGCGCTCCCTACTCCCGGGTGACCTTTTCATCTCCTATTCCAGGAAAGGAATGATCTTCTGCTTTTTCAGACCTATGACAACCTAGTGGTTTCTGCCCAAACTAAGGTATTTTGTGAGAATAAGCAAAATACTCAAAATAGTTAACTCTAGAAGAATCCTGCTTTAGCACATCTGTGCTAGAGCCTAAAGCTCAGCTGAGCTGTGTGTGGTACCTCCCCAGGCAGAACTCAGGCTGTGCACTCTTTCTTATGACTATAGTTGATAGCTATTATTTTTTAAAAAATGAACGATGCTCAAAACAGGAATACTGTGGCTCTTCTAGTATATAAATGAAAATCTAAAACCTGTTTAAAAATCTCATATGCTCCAGTTTCATCAATGGGGAAATAAATGTTGGATTATTTTATTTCTGAACTACTGCCAACTTAAAATATTAATTCTACTTTTATGTTCAGTTAGATTAATTTTTGAAAGCCTCCAAAAGAATGTTCTCTGAACAAGCTATAGAAAGGGAGGTCATAGCCAGGTACAGTGGCACACACCTGTAATCCCAGCAACTTGGGAGGCCGAGGCAGGAGTATTGCAAGCCTGGACAACTTACTGAGACACCACCTCAAAATAAAAAATAAAAGGGACTGGGGATGTAGCTTAGTGGTAAAGTGCCCCTGGGTTCAATTCCTAGTACCAAAAAAAAAAAAAAAAAAAAGATGGGGAGGTCACCATGATCCATGTAAAAACAGGATTAAGTACCATTTCACTAATTATGGATCTAATGTGATGAAGCCATCTCAACACCAGCATCCTTTTTTGACTGAATCTCTGGTCAAACTTTGGTCCTTACTATTCATGCACCYACCACATGGCCCTCTTTGGGTTTTAAAGGCAGTGGTAGTCTGTGTAACTAGTGACTTCAGCAAAACTTAGGACAAGATGTCCTATGGCTCGTGATCCTTAAAAATGTCAAGGTCATCAAAGCATCAAAGTCTGAGGAACTGTTCTAGAGACTGGATGATGCTACCGCAGAACTCCCTGAATCCAGGCTGGTCTTCTATGGCTAGCAATGTCTTTTTTTTTTTTTAGGAAAATATCTGCTGAAGTATTTAGGAATAGAGGGATGACATTTGCAACTAACTCTCAGACAGTTAACATATGTAGTTAACGTATATAGAGAGAAGCAATGACAAAACAAATACAGAAAAATGTTAACTGATTGTGTGAAGGGTACATGGAACTTCTTTTTGAGTCTTGTAACGCTCTCTGTAAGGTTGATATTATTTCCACATTAAAGAAAAAAAACACCAAAAAAAAATTTAAAAATGAGGGTGCTCTCTCAGTTCCAGGGCCCTGGACAGTGTCATTGTTTGTAGGAAAAGGATTACCCACATTCATTCACAGGGAGCTTCCTTTTAATTCACTGCTCAAGCTGCAGCCAGAGGGACCTTGGCTGCTGATGTCCTGCTGCTAGGCTGCTCAGTCTCAATGATTTTCTCCTTCTCCCTGACTCAACACCCCTGCTCCACTAGATGACAAGCAAGTTGGTGTCCAGGGCCTTCACCAGGCCAGGATGGTTTTCCACCCACTACGGCTGGCTGATGCATCAGCCAGGGACCAAAGCACCTGACCAAAAACTAAAGGTATCAGACACAGTTCCTGTCATAAGGCTCAGAGCTTACAGAGAAGATGAACACTTTAAAAGGCACAGAATAGGGTTGGGGCTGTAGCTCAGTGGCAGAGCATTTGCCTAACATGTGTGAGACACTGGGTTCGATCCTCAGCACCACATAAAAATAAACAAAGGCATTCCTGTCCATTGACAACTACAAAAAAGAAAAAAAAGAAGAAAAAAGAAAAAGGTACAGAATAATCACCTGATATACCATAAAGGGCTCATGGAAGGCACCRTCAGAAAGATGAGCAGGTACCACAGAGAAAACAAGATTGACTGGTCTCTTGGGAGCAGTAGGTGGGGAGAGGGCCTGCGACTGTACAGAGGGGCTTGCACAGTGGAGAAGGGGACAGTTGATCTAATCAGGCTGTGAGAGTGTGCACAGGGGTGTGGTGGGCATTAAGAAACCTGGTCTCAGGTATGAGGGTGACAGCATAGGTCTCCTAAGACAGCCAGAGTGGGAAATGATCAGCTGAAGAGAGCGGCRGGGCCACAGCCCTTGTCCTACATTTCTGCTGAGGACCAGCGAGCCTCACTTTTCTCCTGTTGTGCCCAAGTTAACAAGGCGGGAGCCCACAGTACCCACAGAGCTCCTGGCCCCTGGATGGAGACATGCTTCCACCGCAGCAGTCTGCTAAGAACCGACTTCCCATACCTGGGGCCTGTCAACCACGGTGTGCACGCGGATGGGCGACGGGGAGTGCACTGGCGTGCTGCTTCTGGCTGGCGAGCCCTCCCGGCTGGACACACCCCGCACTGGTGACCTGAACGGGGAGGCTGCCCTCACAGGTCGGGGCTCCCACTCATCACCCTGGATCTTGTGATACACGGGCTGGTGGGTCTGGTATTCACCCTGCTGAGCCGGGTAGTGGGTCTTCTGGGCTTGGTGGAGGGAGGGCTGGGCAGCCGGCCGGGCCACATTCTGCTCATGTATCACTGGGATGGGGATGTAGCCCCGAGGCAGCTGGTGGCTGCCCAGGCTGCTCCTGCCAGAGGAGGGCAGGCTGGCCGATGAGGATGAGGAGGAGCAGTCGGAGGCCGCTGGAGACTGGGACCGCTGTAAGAGACAAAGGGCAGAGGGTGTGGCCCCAGGAATGACCCCACAGCCCTGGCACACCAACCTTACTGTGCACCTACTCAAAGCTACACACTTCCCAACACTTTCCACACAGAAATGTTTCGATTTTCAAACTGGCGTGTTAAGGGCTGAGGGGTGGCCCAGTGACAGACCGAGTGCTCAGCAGGCATGGGGCCTAGGTGCAGTCCCCAGCCCCATAGAGTAGCATTAAGACTGAGAGCTTCGGAATAAAGGGGCCTGGGTTCAACTTCTTACTAGCTCAATAGCTTTCTCAGTGTCATCTGAAATACAGATAAAGCACCCCATATATACATGGCCTGTCCTGACCAGTAAGTAAAATCATCTGTGCATACACATGGCGCGCACAGGAGTGCCCCATCCACGTGCTGGCTGCCCTCCTCCACCCTTCGCTACTCATCTAGGGAGGGTGACAGCTGGGAGCTTCATGTGTCCCCTGTGAGGCCTGGGGCAAGCCAGGCCCCTTTCTCTTCTGGGCCACCTTCTATTCATCTAGAAAATGAGGAGGCCTTTTCCCCGTGTTGGTCTCTAAGGGCCTTATTAGCTTAAATTTGCCAAGATTTCCCTGATGTGTCGCTTTGATTTTTACAGCAAACACATTGTACACATAGGTGTTTCCTCTCCAAGGAAAGAAAGAACCTCCTGGGACCCCCCACTAACTTTTTACCCCCATGCAGGTGGTACAGCTGAACAGAGCTCAGAGGCCATCATGACTCTGGGTACAGACAGGAAGTGAGGATTTGTGCTCAAGAACAGTGCCAGTGGGCACAAGGGGATGCTCTGCAGTCAGAAGATAAAAATGGCCTAGTGCTCAGGAACCTCCTAGGTCCACTGGCCCACAAATCCCCACCAAGGATCAGATTGACAACTATTCTTCAGCTGTTGTTGCCCTGAATCCACCAACATACCCTGAAGTGAAGGGCTCTGGGCTGAACCTATCTTTGGGCTGCTGCCTTTCTCATTCCTTATCTGGCTTTCCTTGTACACTGCAGGATGCTCTGAGACAGGTATGCAGTCCTGTTTTCATTCTCTACATAGTTCTGAGCGGTTGATATTTATCCATAAGTACTGAACTAGACCAAAATAATACATAGCTCTTTCTGAAACAGAGAAGCCCAGTGTAAATAAGGAACATCAGAATTAGGAGCCAGGAGGCCAGTCTTCAGGGTACCAGCTCGGCTGCTCTCTCCTTTACGCATTTGGACCAAGCAATTTATAGTTCACCATCTTGGTCCCATTCCTTAATTATAAAAATAAGTCATGAGACTCCTGCCCTGGGCACCTAAAAAAACGCCTGTGAGATGCTGGGGGATAGCATGGGACTGGGGTCCGCAACCATCTTTGCTTGGGGGGCTGCTGATACTACAGACCAGGCCCTGATGCCTGCCCATTACCAGTGCCTGGCCCGGGGGTGAGCCAGGCCTCTCCTTACCTCAGGTCCATGGGAGGCTGGGGGCTGAGCTGCTGCAGCTGCTGCCACCTGTCCACACTGTTTGTCTGGCTGGGTGGTTTCTGGCATGCTCCGAAGAGGTGACTGGGACCTCTGAGGGGCAGCTGCGGCTGCCTCAGTTCTGAATCGCTGAGCCCCAGGATGGGGATAGGCATGGAAAGGGTACGTCTGCCGGTTCTCAGCCCCTTCGTGGAGGACGGGAATGGGAATGTAGCCTGGTCGGAGCTGGGGGTACACAGGGTGGCCTTCCCTTGTGGGAAGTAGCCTGGAGCCCTCCCGGGAAGGGCCATTGGCAGAGGACGATGTTTCCTAGAATGAACAGAAGAGAAACAGACTCATGAGAAAACAGAAAGAAAATACCCCCGAAGAGGAAATTGGTGCAGAGCCCTCTCTCTGCTCTTCCAGAGCGACTTGGGTCCCCAGCTCAGCCAGGGAGTCTGGCTGCTTCACAGTCCCCTGCTTCTGTTGAACATCCCCTTTTCTACAGCGGCTGCTGCATGGTCAGGCGAAAGCAGAGGAGCCAAGGTAACTGCTGAGCACAAGGGAAGCCCCAATTTCCCAAACTGGTAAGACAGGTTTCCTTTCTGGGTAACAATGGGGAGGCAGTATATGCAGGAGAGCTTGACTGTCCCCCAAACCTTCAGATAGGAAGGTGATCTCCCAGGAACAAGACTCAACTCCAACTACCAAATTACAGCAAGACTCTCAGCTTCCAAAAAAGGCCCAAGTTTCCCAACTGTACCAGGTTTATTCTGGACCCAAACACAGACACAGTTTAGAAACTTTCAGAGAGAAGTAGGGTGGCGGTAGTGGTGCTGCCTCTTCAGAAATGCTGTTAGTACAAGCTACAAGGGAGGCACTCAAGATCACAAACAGCACAGAGAGGGAGTGAAACCCAGGGATTAATTGTGCTAGTCTTATGATGCCAACAGACAGTCTTTGCCTAGCCAAGCTTTAGTCAGACTCCTGAGCCTTCTCCCAGGCCCATCTGTGCACTTGTAAAATCTAGTTTTAGCAAAAGAACTCTCTATACACAGTTACCAAATCCCCTCCTCTATGTCTGATCATCTCATTATCTGATGAGGCTCCTGTCTCCATCATCCCCAGGTGATTTCTGATCACCTGGGCATCTGTAGCAAGAACGCCGTCACAGGTTAGTAGAATGTTAGCCAGAATCTCTCTTAGGCCTTGATGTTTCTCTCCTTTCAGTCATCTTCCATCCAGTGACCCTCACACTGCTCCTTGGCTATAAAGTCCCCACTTGCCTATGCTGTGCTGAGAGTCGGGCTCATCTGCCCCTCACCTGCAGAACTCCATTGCAGTGATCCCTACTCCTAGCCCAGTGGTCTGCTTTAACAAGTATCACAGAATAATTTTTTCTTTAACAGAACAAGGCCTACTTGAACTAGGAGAGTTGGGGTCCCTCTCTTCTGTCCTCTCATGAAGTTCTCTCTTCAGTGGCTTGGCTATTTTGGGACCCTTGAGAAGGCCAAGTTCCAGATGTACCATAGAGAAAGATCTTATTTCAGACAACAAGGCTGGGCAGCCACTCACTGGGTGATGCCACCTCTCACCAAGCAGAGGCTGCATAACACAGCTACCAACCATCTCCCAAGCATGAAGAGCCTTCTCCAGAGGAGGGGAGCCACTGACGTGTGTCACTTGTACATATCCGAGTAGGTCAGGTATTAAGGAGAGAGGACCTTGCTTAAGGAAGCAGCTCTCTGAATGGCAACCAGGCAGAAGACTAAAAATCTATGAGCTTTTGGGGTATATTTTCTATTGCTCAGAGTTGGTCAAAAGCAAGGACAGATCCTGAGGGCTGATGTATGCTTTGAGGGAAGAGACCATTAATTCCGCAGCGTTTCCATGATGTTTCTATTTATGTAGAGGCTTGGACACCAGGTGGCTGGCCCTGGGATTTAGCCCTTCCAAGCCCATCAACTGCTTCTCTCCTGCTGAGACCTTGCCCCAGGGAGGGCCTCCAAAACACAGGAAAGGCAAGGGTGTCACTGTGTCCTTGGGGATATAGGCAGACAGGCACTTGGCACTCTCAGATTAGAATGACCACGTGCTAGGGCAGGAACATTATTTTAGCCTGCTTAACTCTCAGGTCACCCAAGAGCAGGGACAGCATCCAGACCTCACATTCAGAAGCTGGTTCTTGCTATGAGACGGGCATCATAGAGAGCCCCCGAGAGGTGCTGCAGGAATCCTCTGCTACTCAGTGTTGAGTCCCAACAGTCCTTTTGGGCAGTCTGTCCACTAAATGGAGCAGCTTTCCTTCTAGCCGAAATCGGAAGCCCACCCAAGTCCTCTGATGTGGTCTTTGCTAGCTGACTGGGCTCACTGCTCCTCCAACTGTGAAACAAAAAACCTCATCCCCAGTAACCTCTGGAGGAGATAGATGTTAGTGGCTGGGAGGGTTCTAGCTTTCTAGACTCTTTATCTTGAGGTGATAGAAATATTCTCTTTTTCTGGGTGGTGGCAAATAGGTGCACTCCTGTGTAAAAGTCTATCAAACTAAATCAAACTGCACATCTTCCTAGAACCCTGGGTAGAAGACTGGAAAATGACTAAGCCACCAGGCACAAACACAAAGGCTAAAGGGGAAGGGCGGCTGGGGCTGCTTTTCTTTACAGTCCTGAGGTCCACGGCTCCTGGACCTGGGAGGATTAATGACCCACTAATGCTGTTTAATAAAATGCAACAGTTGCATCAGAAAGAAGTTCCAGGTGCCCCCTCCACTCTGGTGGGGTTTTGCTTAGAAAACTATTGCTTTAGGTGACTGAAAAATCACATCAACTTCATAGAACAATCAGCAATTCTACCTGAAAGAATAAAATTAAACCAAAAGTGACACTGGCACCCACAGCAAGGCCGGTGCTGGAGTGCTCACACCACTGCCTGAGGGCCCCCCTCCCGGCACTGCTAGAGTCCAGTAGCAAATGACTGATTTTTCTAAGTAAAAAGCACTGCCTGGAGACCTATAGTGCCCATTGCATTTTCATCACAATCAAGTTAAAAAAAAAAAAAAAAAGAACACCCCCCCAAAAAAGTATAGTATTATAATTCCCCAGAATATGACTAAAATATCTGTTTAGTCCATTAAGAGGTGTTCTCAAGTTCAAGCACAATTCTAGAGACAGTCTCTTGGTTACACTAGCATCCTTCAGATATGACTCATCCCCTGCTCCAACCTGACATCAATGGGGAGAAGCCACCTTCTAAGGGGTGGGGTATGGGTGGCACTGGGTGATCACATGACAGGGACTGGGGTGCAATCACAGTCACCAAGCTGATGACTGCCCATCATCACCGAGACCTGCCTGCAGCTCAGTTCATTACCCTTATCTTTAGGTAAAAGGACATCAGGAATATACACAAAATCTAATTAGAAAATAAGTGCCCCAGGGCCTTCCACTGCTTATCTCACTAATTAATTTATAAAATGAATTAGTTAATTCTTTTCCCTTGCCTGAATACTGCATTAAAATCTTCTGAGGCTTGTCTTAGGGCAACAAATAACTCCATGAGATGGCTGGGATTGAAAGCAGGAAAAAAAAAATACCTCAGACAAGCCAAAATTTTGTCCTGTTAAAAACAAGACATTATTATTAGAGAAAGCCTGGGGTCAGGTTTGGAGCCCAGGCAAGCTGTTGGGCTTATCTGCTTAAGGTCACGGTTTGCATGACTAACTGTTTGTAACAAGCACCTGGCACTAAGGGGACAGCCAGGAGATGGGAAAGAGACTGCAGCTGGTCCTAGGTCTTGTTCCACCCAAAACCACCTGTGAAGCGAACAGCCTTATAGTTGAGACCTTATTTTCTCAACTGTGAAGAGGCTGAACACCACCCTGGCTGCAGCCCTTGTACTCTAGGAGAGGCGGGAAGCAGGGCTGGATGCCTGCCAGGTGTGGGTCTGGCAAGGCACAAGCTGGGTACACGCACATTCATAGGATGGCCATACAGAAGGGCTGGCCTTGACCCATCTACAACTGATCCCCGGAACACTGAACACTCTGAACCCTGAAAACAGGCTCCCTCTGTGAGGCCCAACCCCACAGCTTTGGTTCTATGGCTACAGTGCTCTTAAAAAGTGGGCTCAAGGGCTGGGGTAGTGGCTCAGTGGTAAAGCACTTGCCCTAGCATGTGTGAGGCCCTAGATTTGATCCTCAGCACCACACAAAAATAAATAAATAAAGGCATTGTGTCCATCTACAACTAAAACATATTAAAAAAAAAAGTGGGTTCAATACCTACAAACCTCAGCTCCCATCACCCTAATATAGCAGCTCCTGGGGCTGCCACAGCACTTCTGATGATAGCCCTGGAGTCTTAAAGTAGGACACAGATTCTATTAACTGGGTTTTTAGGCCAGAAGAGCCTTCACCCAGGCCAGGCGTTGAGTTCTCTAACAACACTTCAAAACTTCTAAAACAAAGGAAAGAGGTGGAGGAAAAGAGCAATCCTGGAACTCCCCATGTAGCTAGGGCCTGGTCACAATTCAGCAGCTTGGCTCACCTCCATCAGGCAGGAGACTGGAGCACAAAGCTTTCATGTTAAGCGCAGGGCTGAGCCTCAACATGCTAACACCACTTTCCGTTTGGTACAACGGGCGATAGGAATGAAATAAGTATTACTGTCAATTTGTTATATAAATAGTCACTTCTGTCCCTACAAGGAACTCTAAATTCTTTTTTTTTTTTCCAAAAAATTGTGTCTGTACATCTTTATTGTCCTTGGATATGCGCTAAATTATATGTTTTTTTCATTTGATAATGATTTTTGCTATTTTTTTCTTTGCAAGTACACCTTTTTTTTTTTTTTTTGTTTTCCAGTTTTTGGAGTTTATTTGGATGTTAATTCATTTTTTTTTATTGGTTGTTCACAACATTACAAAGCTCTTGACATATCATATTTCATACATAAGATTGAAGTGGGTTATGAACTCCCAATTTTACCCCAAATGCAGATTGCAGAATCATGTCAGTTACACATCCACAATTTTACATAATGCCCTATTAGTAATGGTTGTATGTGTCCACCAGATTGTGATACGGGGTCTTTTCCACCACTCCCTTTGCTGGGTGGGGTAGATAAGAGAATGAGCAAATTCTGAATAATAAGCAAGGCCCACATTCCACCAAAATCCATTCATTGGACCTCTAAGAAGGTGGAATTTTGTCCTGGGACTTCTGGTAAGGCAGAGATCCGTGGCGGCCACAATCTCTGTGAACCAGCCTGAATCAAAGCTGATGGGAGGTTTGCTCTGAAACTTGTTAATCATTTTATCCCAGGACTAATAAA